AACTCACGACCTTGCATTTGCCAGGCAGGTGCTTATGCTGCTGAGCTAGATCCCCAGCCCCCAAAATTTTGAATCTCTTTGGCAGAGTAGGAAATATAATGATGGTGGCTGGTTGGTCTTAGCATCCCTGGACAAACTACTGAACAAAAACAATGAGCTCAAAACATCCATCAGAAATTTAAAGTCTTCTGGCTGTGAGAACAAATTGATAAAGGAAAATAAGGAGCTCAAAGTTTCAAATTCCCTGCTCCAGATAGAGATAAGAAATTCAAAAGTTTCTAAATGTGTCCTGAAAGACTGACACACAGTTTGCCCATTGTCATTATATTGTTCTTTGAGTTTCAATACATTTCACCATTGTACGAAAAAGAAATCCATTTTAGAATATTTCCATACTGAATCATTTTAAATTAACAGCAGTGAGAAAATGTTTGGAAAGATCAATGATTTATTATTGAAACAATGATTAACAGATGGCAGGAAAGAAAAGAATCTTTTATTACTTTAAATTTTTAGCCTCCAGGCAGAAGATAAATGTTCCTGACAAAAACCAACTGGAAAAATAAAAATTATTTTTACAAAATAAATTATAATCTACATACAATTTACTTATGATAGCATTGCTTATATTAGCAAAAAATTGGAAGCAATTCTGTAAGCTTGAGACTAGATAAATAAATTGTGATAAAACTACCTTAACAAAGAACCATGTGGCTGAACGGAGATGCTCTTTAGGTACTTGTAAGAAAAGACCTCTAGGATATATGAGGTACAGGGACACATCTAGTGCCATATATAATCTTTTGTTTGTGTTTTCATAAAGAAACAATAAAAGAATGCACAAGAAAATATCAAGAGTGATTAGTTGATAAGATAGTAGGTAAAGGAGTAAATAAGGTGTTGGGGATAGGGGTGGAAAGGTAGATTTTAACTTTACAACTCTGTGAGTGTCTTGCCTGTTTAATGTAGGGAGTTAAATGGAACCTTTCATTAAGTATGAGTGGCCTCTCTTTGTTTCACAGATTTGGCTGGGAAGACAGCAATAGAACAATGTCAAGTGGATGCCATTGTGGACACACTGAATGATTTCATGTCAAGTTTTCCCTGGACAGAGAAAAATCAAGAAGTAAAAGTAATGTGACCAATTTGTTATCACTACTATTAACACATACCACTTGGCAGAAATTGTTAGGTGCTTTGTAAAATACTTTTCAATGTAGATAACATGTGTGTGTGGTGTTAGACCATCAAATTATTTTAAAAGTTCAAAGCTAATTACAACTCTCTGCCCTCCTCCTACACATGGACCTTTCCCTCCCCAGATGTGGCCCCCTTTTTAACTCTGCTCAGCTATTTCCTTAGGAGTTACACATGTCCATATTTCTACAGCATCTTTCTTTGGTCCATCAATCCTAGACAGTTTCTATGGATTTCTTATGTCAACAATCAAGAATTTATCTCTCAGTCATCCTCTCTGCTTCCCTTTTTCTGAAGATCCCAATGTAATGATTAAAAATTTTTTCACTGGGTCATCGCTCCAGGCTTAGTGTTAGTTTGCCTATTCCAACAATACACAGAACTGTGCAATGTAGTGTACTTTCATATTTCCTTTCTCATTTTTCCTTGTCAGGGTGAGTAACTGCCTCTTTTTTGTTTAATAATTTTCATTTTTATTTTGGATCTTCTCAGACCGTCCAATAACCTACCAATAGTAGTTTCCACAAGGTCGCTGACCTCAGGTCACCTGCTGTTCCCAGAATTTCCTTGGAGCCAGCCAGCCTGGAGACCTGTGGCCTCCCTGTGACACTCGCTAGGTTTTCTGCCCAGCTCTCATCACTGGCCCTTACGAATACCACTCTCTGGAACTTCATAACTGGCTGTACTGCTCTTTCTTCCTCCCTCTCCTGTCTGTAGGGCACACTTACTACTCCAAAAGTGACCACCGAAGTTTGATGCCAGGAGGTGGTGCCAGGAGGTGTGACTGTAACCATGTGTCCTGGGAGTCCCACGACACCACTGCTTGCCGGATGCTTCACGCACGGTTGGGTTGTCATTCTGGTGGCCTTGTCACCTGCTGGATGTTTCTTTGGTCCTTCTCTGGGTTCATCTTCCTGTTTTCTCCTCATTTTGGGGGGAACAATTCTCCAATAGCTTATTGGTCATAAGAAAAAAAATGGGGCCTCCTTTGTCTTCAGGTGTTGTACTTGATATCATACTTCTTTCACAGTTTGGCTGAGCGTAGAACTTTATGTTGAAAGTGATTTTTCATTAGCATTGGCTGACATTATCTATAGTCTTTTTGTTGTTGAGGAATCTGAATTCAGTCTAATTACTGACCTTTTGTATGGAACCTCCTTCCCCCTCGGAAAGACTGTGGAACACTTGCCTCGGGAATTCCACAATTTTACGCTGATGAGTCTTTGGTATAACCTGTATTCAGCCATTATGCTGTTTCCTTGTTGAACCTGCCCAGTCTGGGATTTGTGTCCTGGAAATTTCCTTCAATTATTTCACTGATGACCCCTTCTTTTGTGGTTGCTGTTGTTCCATTACCCTAGAGTTCTTGTTATTCCGATGTTGAATCTTTTCTCTCCCATTTTTTTTTTTTTTTTGTTGTTGTTCTGCATTACTTTCAGGAAGAATTCCTCAATTTTCCCCTGAATTCTAAAATTCTCATACTATTTTAAAATTTACTAAGATTCTTTCTGTGGTATTTTGTTGTTTGAAAATTTTTTATATATTGAATGAATATAATATTGTATCATCTTCCCACCCACTGTGGGAATGTTGCTTGTACAAAGTTGCTTTCTGTCCCTTTTTGTTTTTGTCTGTTCCCTCAGGAGTCAGACCGTTCTTTATAATCCATGATAAACAGTAGTGGATTCAAAGGTTTACACAAAGCTCTCAGCATGTGGATGGGAGTTGTTGGTCTTGAGTATCACTAGGCTATTTTGGGGGGTACTTCCCAATATCATGGTCTTCAGGTAGCCCCTCATGTTCTGGAAAGAGCTCCTGACAAGGATTTATGATTCCTGCCCAGAGATAAAGGCCTAGCTGTCGTGTTCGGAGATACAAAGTAAGAGGGCTGGGAGCTTCATTTAGGGTTCAGGGCACATGTGTTCATTTGAGCCTCTTATTTTTAATATGTTATGTGTGACATTCATCCTCTATCCTAAACCTCTCTTTACTCATGCAAAGATGGGGGAATAGCAGTTCTGTAGCAAACAGCACTGGAGGAAAATGCATGCTACAATTGCTTCTTGGACAGTTTTCCGTCTGGTTCCCCCCCCCCCCCCCCCGCCTCCTTTGCCCAGCTCTACACTCATTCTGCCATCTGCTGAGCCACTAGCGCCCTGGGTGGTGTAGGTAGAGCTGGTTCCCACTTGTCCTTTGCAGGTGCCACTGCTTATCTTTACAGCTCCAACTTAAGTTTGTTCTTGTCTCCTGTCTTCTTTTCCACCTCTGCATGGGTTCTGTCATTTTAAAAATATGCATTGTCATCTGACCGGGTCTGAGGAGTTTCCCCCTAAGGGGAGGTGGAGGACAGAGACCTCAGCTCAGCCCCACCCGTGGAGACGACCTTTGGCGTGTCACAGAAAAGCTTGTCAGGACAAATAAGTGTAGGGGATGGTTAGGCAGAAAGAAGTGCATGGTCAGAAGGGGCTGGGGGTGCTCCTCAGGTGAGCCTCACTATGGTCGGGGACTGGGGGTATTTGGGTGTTCTTGTGGTTGTGACCTATGGAATTTGTGAATCTATAGAAAGCACTGGAAATCCATACAGACTCAACTCATAGGTAAAAGACAATGGCCCATTTTATTGTATCTTTAAGACTGTGGAATTTTTCATGTTCCAGAAGAGAAAAATAAAGTATTATAACTCTCAGTAACTTTGTGCCCTCAATACGGACCTTTCCTAAAAGTACGTGGTATGACTTTTCTTGTCTTCTTTCTACTTATCTTTAGTTCTTCCACGCAGAACAGTGGATTTAGGTTGAAAGCAAAACTGTGTGTGTTGAATCTGCCATGTTTGTCCAGAGTGTTAAATGCACCTCCTCCGTTAATCTTCATCGCAGCCTGCTAGTGGTTCCATGTAGGGTTCTCTTCAAGATTTGAATTTTAAAATGCATTTGTATGTTTGTCTCCCACAGCTCCAGTAGGAAGTGTCCCAGGGGCAGAATCCTGTCTGTATTTTTCCACCAATGCCCCCCGCATCTACCATGGTGACTTTTACGTTGCAGCCATTAAATACTCAGGGAAGGTGTAATCACACACTGCATCTACCGGACGCATGCCCTGGCCGGGCCCGGCTCTCACTTCTTTTCGTCACTATGTGCTTTCTAGCAGAAGGAATAAAAAGAGAGTGGCTAGTGAGGTGCTCAAGTCTCACAAGTGACCTGAGTCCAGATGGCCTTGCCTGAGCCCATGGCCTCTGCCTATGAACGAACCTGTTTAAACAAGTGAATAATCCTCAGAGCACCCCTTTGGGGTGATGTTGTTACTGTTCCCTTCTTCCACACGAGGACACTGAGACGCAGCACTGTAAATCCCTTGGCAGGGCTGTTTCACAAGTAAGTGGTACACAAGGAATACAAGCCCGTCCCTCGGACTCCTGCTCTAACGCGCAGGGCCAACAGCTGCTCAAAACAGCTGTGCATAAACATTTATTACAACTTACAGCTAAGGACTGTACCCAAGAGTCACAGCCCAGAAAACAGATGACCGTCTTAGCAATTTATGCAGCACATTTTTACTATTCTCTCTATTTACTTAGTTAGGACCTTCTGATTTACATATAGATATTTGGACATAAAAACATTTACATTTACCAACTCTGAAATAAATGTAAGGCATGTGGAACACACACACACACACACACACACACATGCACAATCAAGAAAAGGTAAATAAAAGCCAAGCTTTGATAACAGAAATGTAATACAGCTTCTTGTCATAAACACTTTTCTGCTTTGGGGTCAGACTGCCAGGCTTGAGTTCTGGTTTCCTTATTAGCTGCCACTTAACTCCTTACTTACAGTTCAAATTCTTTATAAAGTTGAGGCTATAAAAATCTCTTTTTTGCAGTGTATTAGTAGATAATGCATATACTTATGGCTAAGTGGAAAGTATCATCACATAGCTCAGTGTGCACTTTTCCTTCTGTTTCCCAGAAATAGCATCTCCATTTCATATATCCTTGTAAACACAGACGCAAACAGACCCAGACCCCAAGTTAGGAATAAAGTGTCTAAAGCTTTTCCTTGCATGTGCCAAAGACCCCACACATGGGCAGCCTGTCAGGTGATCAGTTTGTTTCACTCTATTCCTTTACTTTTGCCCTTCTGGGGCTGAGGCTCCATACCTGAAGACACCCTCCAGGGGAAATATTTACAGTAGCTATCACTCTACCTTTGTAGTAGAGAAACAGTGCCCTTATATACATAGCACCTACCTCAAAAACCAGTTTCACAGAACACAGCCGTCCGAGTTCATGAATAAATCATGGGATGGAAGAGCATGTCTCAGTAACACTGCCGTTACTCCAGACTATGGGATTAACCCACAGGACCTGACTAGTGCACAGTGAAAAAGGACACCACTGTTCCCCCTTCTCTGTAGTGGATCAGTTGCTGCCCCCTTGTGGTCACAGAAGATAATGATGCAGTGACATAGTGAACCTACACACATGTAATTATATATTGATGGGCCGTGACAATATTCTTGTTATCCTATGTGCTTTTAAAAATTTCATTAAATGTACACAAAAATGACAAATGTTCCAGGACTTATTGCAAAGAGTTCCATTTCATTTCTTTAAAAAGTGAAGGGCAAAATATATCTCTGGACATTGGTCACCATGCCAGTCCTTGAACTTATGAAGCTTGGTTACTATGGTCATTCAGTGTGTCTGCATTTCCGTTTCCTGTCTGAGGAGGAGATGGGATGGCAGATGAGCAGGAATGAGGAAATGCCCTGATATGCACCCACCACTAAATGGTTAATGACATTGATTTAAAAATAATGCTTTGGAGAAATACACAAATCTCCCTGTATCCGCTAAAAGTCATTGTTAGCATATTCTAGTAGTGACCTTTCAGCGTGAACAACCTGCTTCTCAATTTTCTGAAAGAGGAG